ATTTGAACCCTTTTTTCGGTATTTGGTTTTGGAATAAAGGTGGATGTGCCGGTGGCACACAGGGAGGTTACGTACCCCTGGCAGACCGTTTCCTTGGGGCAGACCACGGATGCCACTACTTAGGTATATCACTCCGGACGTGGGCATCCCTAGTAGTTACGGTTGGTTACACTTGAATATTTGACCAAGAGGGGGTTTCAAATTAACCGTTGCCATGCTTAGTGGTTGGTAAGTTAAATCTCTTTGGTGAGATTTCGAGTGTCACCTAATTTATTAAAATTATTTTAATGGTTGTAATTTATGCTTACAATTATATTGTTATCTCATGTTTATAATCTCATTATTTTTCTCTTAAAAAGAATGGTAGGTTGGTTATGTTTTCTTACTGTGTTGCAAAACTCATGGCAAATATTTTTGTTGCCCTGGCATTTTATGCCAGGTCTTGGCAAGAAAATAATTGAAGCTGAAATGGAGTCGGCGCTAACGTAGAGCCTTGGCTGACCTGAAACCCCGAGTAGAGCCGAATAAATTATATTATTTTATATAATAGCTATTAAGGACTTTATAATTTCATTTGATGTTGTATTTGGATAATTTTAAGTTTTTATCTATTGTTATTTGGACATTCGGTTATGTACGAGAGTTGGATTGCCCTATTAAGATATCAACTTTTTGGTTTATTAAGTCATTTTGTTTATTTAATTTCCCTTGATAACAAATCCGTGTGGGTGTGACCCAAGCGGACAATATCGATGACGTGTAAAGGGTCGGGGCGTTACAAATGGTATCAGAGCCGACTCTCTGGAGTACCGAGTGTGGGCCCCTAGCGTCTCTCGGTGCATGTGGGCGGGCTTGCGAGCTGGCAGGCTACAGCACGGGGACGTGCAGCCTTATGGGGGTGGATTGTAAGGCCCTGGTGTCCCACATCGGGAATGGAGAGGGAGTTCCTGGGCTATAAAAGTAAAAGCTTGGACCCTTATATAGCATCGAGGCCTTTTCCCAAGTGGTGAAATCCCTATTAGAACTCCCCAGTTAAGCGTGCTTAGGCTGGAGTAGTTCTAGGATGGGTGACCCACTGGGAAGAACAAATCCGTGCGGGCGTGACCCAAAGCGGACAACATCGATGACGTGTAAAGGGTCGGGGCGTTACACTTTTAATGATTACTTATATTTTGATTTAGGTATAAAAATCAAGACAAGTATAAGAGCTACTCACAATAAGAATCACCTATATGAGTGTCAAACTGGGGCCGGTTCTATGAGAATAAAGAGGCTAAATTCTCCAAAAGCACTCATAAATAACCAAGAGTGTTCAAGGCAAAAAAAAAAACACAACCGTGAGAACCATGATGTGTCAGAAGATATTTTGTGTGAAATCTATTGTCTTAATTTACACAAACGGCTAAATAATTCAAGGCATCGCATCCATTGGTTAGCTAGTAAGTCCGATAGGTTATCACTAGGGAAGGTTCAAGACCGAAAGCTACCTATCCTGGTGCAAGATATTTTCGATTTATACTCTTTCAACAAATTCTACATATTGTTGCATTTTCGTTGTCATCAAATTCCATTCATATGGGGGATTATTAGAAATAGTTTTGGAAAAATTAGATTTTTTCTCAACTTTGGTCTATTTTTTAGGTGGGACCCATGTGCCAAAGTTAGCGGGTCTAAGTGGTAACGCGTTCTATGCCGCGGTGTGATTCACGTAGTATATTTTGTTGCTCAAAACCATTATCGGGTGAATGAGAAATTGAAACCAAAGTAAGCTCCATGGAAATGAAGTTTTGGTAGAAGTTCCTTAAAGGTTTGAATGAAAGCCTTGTCCCATATTGGTTTGATGGGCAAACTTTTGTGAGTTTATAAGACTTGAGTTTGCAACTTGGGGAGGGCCCTAAAGGGCACCCCAAGTTTGTAGAATGGAGAAGTTATGGACAAAGTGGACTAGACCCATTGAACCCAAAAATAAATACATACGCGCGCGCGGCCGCTGCCGTCCGATCGAGCTGGGCTTAGGCGCGAGTGCGTGGTGTGAGCTTAGGTTGGGTTTGTCCAACCTAATACTTATCTTTTTGAGTCAAAAACATTTGAATTTATTTTATTTGTTTGGAAATAAAATATGTCCGTTTTTATTTCAAATTTTGATTGAAAATAAAATTCAAATTTTGGTTTGCACCTCTTCAGAAATTCTGTACAGTTTCATATTTGTCCAAACAGATACGAATCTGGTCAAATTCAAACCCAAAACAGGTTTTATCTGTTTAAAATTCAAACCAGATCTGTCTGAACAAGTACCATACTTGTTGGATTCAAACAAAAAAGTCACCATTTTCATTTATAAATAGACAGTCCCTCAATTGATTTTTTCACTTGAATTTTCGTCCAAATTCTGTCATTGCTCTCTTTGCATTTTTGCTGCTTTATTTTCTTGTGAGAAAGAGTGAAGAGTGTAAACATAAAGTGTGTTCATTGTGCGAATAATTTGTAGTGCTGCTATTATTCGTAATTGATCATTTTATCTTGGGAGATAAACGTCCATAATCTAAAAATACCGTGGAGATGACGAATCTGTCTTAAGGACACAATGTTAAACACTGGACTCAATCAGAATTTTATTCAATAAACACATAAGGTTAGTAATTAATTTACTTTCTATTTTATTTATTTATTTTTATCAGATTTTGATTTTGTTTTTGTAACAAAATAAGAATCTATTGTTTTGTATTATTTTCTTTACTAGTTTGATTTTTATAATCAAACAATCTCTCTCATTCTTTATTTTTTTTGTTTGTTGTTAATTACACAAACATTCTTTATTCTTAATACAGTGAAAATTGACTAACATATATGTACATACTGCATATGTATCAAAAAAATAATTTGGTGTGTACCTTTGCCCTACCATTAAATTTGTAAATTTATCATAAAATTTTATAATATCAACTACAAAATACGTAATTTAATCACAAATTAGAATAAAAAAAAATTAAGTAACCAACTTACAAACTTTTATAACATCAAATACAAAAATGTTTTTGAATTTTGTTCTGTTTTTAAATTTAAAATCCCTCCATATTAAATATTGTGTCAACGTAAAATTTAAAATCCCGTCACATTAGACTTTTGATAAACTTGCTGGAACTATTCAATAACGTTAAAAAATAAAACAAAATAAAACAAAAACAAAAGAGAACAAGTCACATTAAAAAGTAAAAAGAAAATAAAAAAGAACAAGTCACGTTAAATCATATCTCTTTCCAAGTGTGTATCAAAAAAAAAAAAAATTGAAAACTTTCTTTGATCTTTAGACATTACCAAATAAAAACTCTAAAATTTTCAAAAATAAATAAATTTGGAAAACCGGAACTAAACAGTTGATTATTTTTCATCCTCTATTTTTTTTTTGAAAATTTTATGAAAATTATTTTACTACCATTTAAAATTATCACTCAAAGTCTATCTCTATGAATTATTTTGAAAAATTAATTAAAAATTAACTTTTAAGTTTTTAATTTTTTTTTAAAAAAAAATATAAAAGAGTAAAGATATAATATAACACAAAATAAATTAATCAAGCTCCCAAATTAGACCTATATAGCCGTGGATGGCAAAAAATTATTTAGGCACCGTTTGGGAAGGTGGGTTGGAGGCTTTTTTGGCTATTTTAGCCACAAAAAACAAAATAGGCTATTTTAGCCATAACAAACAAAACATCACATCCAACCCATAATCATTACATTCTTCTCTCACAAAAAAACTCAAAAAAGTCAAAAAGCCAAAAAGCCCTTCCCAAACCAAACTTTTAAGCCCAGGCTAAAATAGCCAAAAAAGCCAAAAAGTCAAAAAGCCAACCCACTTCCCAAACGGAGGCTTAGTGATTTAAAGACTTCACCTATTTATACCTCTAGCTAAACAACATACATTTTGTTAATCTTATTAATTCCTTATAATCCAACACAAAACCATTACAACCAACTTACCACAGACCACCAAATAACTTCTAGTGGATACGGGTAATCTTCAACTGAACATTACAATCAAATCATCATCATTTACTTTCCCTTTTAAAATTCAAAAAACAAATTGGATAAAGAGTTAATGAGATAAAGTAAGCAAAACGGTAAAGAAAACATTATTAAATTTTTACTTTCACTCCAGCTCGAAATAGACATCGGCAATCTAAAAAGACAGATTTGCCCATATCCAAAGCCTTTTCCATTTGCATATACTACTCTTGCTCCGGAGGACTGAATAATAATTTCAACACCTAAAACCCGTGCCGTTGATTCGACTTAAACCCACCCAAAAAAAATTAATCAAGCTCCCAAATTAGACCTATATAGCCGTGGATAGCAAAAAATTATTTAGTGATTTAAAAACTCCACCTATTTATACCTCTAGCTAAACATCATACATTTTGTTAATCTTATTAATTTCTTATAATCCAACGCAAAACCATTACAACCAACTTACCACAGACCACCAAATAACTTCTAGTGGATACGGGTAATCTTCAACTGAACATTACAATCAAATCATCGTCATTTACTTTCCCTTTTAAAATTCAAAAAACAAATTGGATAAAGAGTTAATGAGATAAAGTAAGCAAAACGGTAAAGAAAACATTATTAAATTTTTACTTTCACTCCAGCTCGAAATAGACATCGGCAATCTAAAAAGACAGATTTGCCCATATCCAAAGCCTTTTCCATTTGCATATACTACTCTTGCTCCGGAGGACTGAATAATAATTTCAACACCTAAAACCCGTGCCGTTGATTCGACTTAAACCCACCCCAAGTGCCAACTGGAAAAAAATTAAGACAGACAGAGATAGAGAGAGAGAACTCTCAGACTTAAAAGGCGGCTCCGCTCAGAGACTCACCCACACGACTCGGTCAAGTCCCCTCTCTCGCTCTACTTTCCTTGCAGTTTCCCTCACTTTCTCTCTCTATAAATTCACCATTGCTGAACCTCTCTGCAACTTCTGAAATTGCTTCGAGATGGAAGTGATGGTACAGCCACCGGCGGCCGATTTCAACTTCGACAGTGCGGGTACTTCTCCCTACGTAAGCTCACCTTCGAGCCCTCAGCGATTCGGCAACTTCTTCTTCAGCGCTCCCACCAGTCCCACCGGCTCCTCCGCCTTCTTCCGCCAGTTCAACTCCGTCTCCACCGGCTCCACCATTCCCTTCAATTGGGAAGAGAAGCCTGGAATATCAAAAACAAACGACAACAACGATTTCGAATTCAATTTCAGCGGTCAGTTAGAGAAAACCTCGGTCTCTGCGGACGAGCTTTTCGATGGAGGAAAGATCAAGCCTCTGAAGCCACCGCCTCGGTTGCAATTTACAGATAAAGGACTAGCCGATTCTCCGAAATCGCCGCGATCGCCGATCAGCGCGAGAATGTTCAGAGAAGCTCTGTCTCCGAGGCATAGAAGAAAGGATTTCGATCCGTTTGCAGAAGCAATCGAACAGACTCGTAAAGAGAGCAATCGTGAAGAACGAGGAAGAGAAAGAGCGAGCAATTCATCGGCGTCGAGTTTGAGGCAGAAAGGAACCAGATCTCTGTCTCCTTTTCGAGTCTGCGATATCTTCTTCGAGAGCGAAAGCGATCAACAGAGTTATTCGAATCCTTCATCAGCACCTACTAAAACAAAAAAATCCTCATCGTCGTCTTGTTCAAATTCTTTTTCGTTTTCGTCTGCGTCTTCTTTTTCAAGGTATAAGAAATGGAAGCTGAGAGATCTATTGCTGTTTCGAAGTGCGTCGGAGGGACGAGCGACGACGAGCAAGGACGCGTTGAAGAAGTACTCGTTGTTGAAGAAGAGTGGTGGTGGTGGTTGTGGTGGTGAGGATGTGAAGAACGCGAGTTTCAGGTCGACGGAAAGTGGAGGATCGGTGAGTTCGAGGAGGAGAGGGACGGCGGTGTCGGCGCACGAGATGCATTACACGGCGAACAGGGCGGTGGCGGAGGAGATGAGGAGGAAGACGTTCTTGCCTTACAAGCAGGGCCTGTTGGGTTGCTTGGGCTTCAATCCGGGTGTTCCTGATTTCTCCAAAGGGCTTGGTTCTCTGACCCGTGGGTGATCCGGTTTTTTTTTTTTTGGTGGTGGGGGTGATAAGTAATATACACAGTTTGTGAGTACTAAAGTTATTATGCTTGTGTTTATGTCTTTACACTAAGGCTAAGGCTAAGGCTAAGGCTAAGTTTGGAAAGAGTAAATAAGTGTATATTTTGATTTTTTTTGTATTATGTGTAGAAAGAGTAGAAAGAAGATGTTGATTAATGTGACCCAAAAAAGATAAAAAGATGAAATAAGTGTACTTTTTTAGGTTAGCCAAACTTGACCTAAGTTTGGGAAATTATAAATAATTCATCTTTTTATTTTATTTTATTTTTTTATCATATCACCTCTCTATTTTTTTGTACATTTTTTCATAAAAAGATAAAAAGTGCACTTATTTAGGTCATCCCAAACAATCCTTAAGATTTCTTTAACAATTACGGTGTGTTTGTGTTTGATTGGGAGATTTAAAAAATGGATTTGAAAAGAAAAATAGAAAAGATAAGTTAAATGTGAATAAAATATATCTATATTTTACTAGTTTTATACATCTTTTCTTTTTTCTTTTTCAAATCCCCAAATTAAATACAGCATTAGTGAATGTTACTTTAACTTCTTTATTTGTGAATTCGTATGATTTAATCCTCTCAATTATAAAAATATGTCAGTTGGTTCTTGTAAATCTATTTTTTAATATATAGTACAAATTTATAATTCACTGGACTAGATATGAGGGGATTATAATCTATCGGACTATTAGTTATCAGATATATTGTCTTCGGACTATTTAGTTGGATTGGATTTGTATCAAATGTTTGTTTACTTATGGAATTAGATTTCAAGATTTGACTATTCTATTAAATCATATGTTTGATTGGAATGTTATGAAAAATGATAAATGTTCAAAAGATTATTTTATCATTTTGAATTATTTACTAAATAATAGAAAATTAAATAAGTAGAATATTAATAAAAATTACATAAATTTATTTTAATTTGTAGTTAAATTTTATTTTACTTTACTAAGTATAATTAATATCATATGATTATTAAAATAAATAATTTAATAAAGTATAAATAATTTAATAAATAAATTTTATTTTTAAAAAGATATTAAACAGTAAAAAGTCAAAAATGTAATTTAACTATCTAATCCCATGAGATGGGTTATTCTATGGATTGTGTCCTATCCTATGGGATAGAACAATCTCATAGATTTAGAATTTATAATTTGGTACAAAAATTTTGAGTTAAACAGATAAACTATTAATCTTATTTCATAATTGAATCCTTCCAAACAAATACCACCTAATAGTTTGAATGTTTTAGTGTAATTAACTCTTATGTTTTGGTGGTTGGTACTTTATTGTGGCCGAAATGGAGTCACTTTTTGTTTCATATCGACCTTTTTACATGAATCTAAACAGAATGAATAATTTTGATAATTGTGGAGTTAGGCCTTGTTTGGTAAGTGATTTTTTTAGTTAAAAAGTCATTAAAAAAATTTAAAAGCCAACAATTCATACTAAAAAATCAAAAAATTTCTTTTCTTTTCTCTGTACTTTTTGTACATCTTTTCGTAAAAAGTCAAAAAATCATCCCAAACATACTAGTTTTTTTTAGCTCATATTTTAACCAAATAGTCAAAAAATTACTAAATTAACCTGTCCCTAAACGAGGCCTTAATAGTTTGAACAAATCAGACGGGTTAGAAATACAGATAAGAAAACAAAAATCATAAATATATAATCATATTTTTTTATGATTTTAATTTAAAAATTGATTGTTAATTCTAAATCTTAGTATAAAACTCACAAATTAATTAAATTTATTGTTTGATACAAATGAAAGGTGATCCCATCTAATTAATGATATTCGGATTGGAGAATAATAGTGCAAGTGCAAAAATAATTTTGTATATATTTATAGATGAATTAGGTTAATTTGTTGGTAGGTTAATAATATTTGAAGAAGTTAGATTGCCTTCGGTTGGCCAATTATATGGTCATATTTGGTCTTGATGCACCTATCACAAGACCCGATTCTAATTGTTCATCTTAGAAGACTCTTCGAGCAAATTATTTACACAAAAGAAAATTGGTTTGATCGGATAATCATAGTCACATGATCATATTACATTGAAAAAATAGACGTCAAATATGATTTAAAAAATAGATTATTCATTATTTTGAAAACAAATGTGATATGATTCTTAAGTTGAGGTGTACTGGGTACTCAATTATGTACTCTTGACTCCCTGCAATTTCTAGCGCCTCTCTCCGATGAGGATCAATCTGTTGGTTTTCCTTGTTTTTGTCCTCCAATCTTGTTACTGTGAGGGGAGGGGGACCTATTGCAGGTCATTTCTCTGCCAGTTGTGCCTTTAACAAGTTTCGATCTTGGTTTTTCTCTCTGACGGTTTCTGACTGGCTTTCCCCTCCCCTCACTCACTTACTCTCTGGTTGTTTTGCCGATCTGGGTCTGTTTTTGCCATTTCTTGGTTTTTTTCTAGCAAATCTGCAAGTTTAGGAGCTTCTTGAAAAGGCGATTTCCGACATTATGGGTGATTTCTGGCGCCTTTCTATGGTATTTCTCTGGCTGATCTACAGATTTGTGGGGTTTTGTATTTTTTCTTTTTGGGTTTTGGTGGTTTTTTCTAGTGTTGGGGTTAAGTGCTTTCTGGCACTAGATTAAGAGGTGTTGGTGGTGTCTTTCCAGTGATCCTTTGGGTTTTTTTCTTTCCTATTTTTTGATGGGTTTGTCTGGTTCGTTTTGTTTCCCCACTCCTCTGCCATCACGTTTTTGGATGTTTTTCTGGTGATATTTTTCCCTTCATGTTGAAGACGGGGTTTCTTCTCAACACCAAGGATCCTCTAGAGTATTTTTTTCCTAAAGTTTCCTAAAGTGGTGTATTGTGTGGTTGAGATTTAATGCTAAAAAATTGATGTGACTTGTCACTAAATCTCAACCACATAATGCACCACTCTAAAAAACTTTAGGAAAAAAAAAAACTCTAGAGGATCCTTGCCCTCTTCTCAAACCTAAGAGGGCCTCCAAAAATCGCCTTTCTCAGAAGGAGAAGGGTTAAGGTATTATTATGGAGAAGGAAGCTCTCATTAAGGATATTATGGATGATGAGGATTTTCAGTTTGTTTGTGGTTCAGCTTTGCCACATTGGAAGGGTTCCGTAGGTATGGATGGTGAAGTTGGACCAATAGACATCCCACTAATGGTGGGTCACGACATGTTTGACTTCTTTCTTTTTAGTGTTGTTCCTGGCCTGGGTGGTCCATCCTTGCGTTCGTCTATATCAAATTGTTGTGATAGTACGACCGATAAAGAGGATCCTTGCCCTCTTCTCAAACCCAAGAGGGCCTCCAAAAATCACCTTTCTCGGAAGGAGAAGGGTTAAGGTATTATTATGGAGAAGGAAGCTCTCATTAAGGATATTATGGATGATAAGGATTTTCAGTTTGTTTGTGGTTCAGCTTTGCCACATTGGAAGGGTTCCGTAGGTATGGATGGTGAAGTTGGACCAATAGACATCCCACTAATGGTGGGTCACGACATGTTTGACTTCTTTCTTTTTAGTGTTGTTCCTGGCCTGGGTGGTCCATCCTTGCGTTCGTCTATATCAAATTGTTGTGATAGTACGACCGATAAGCGTGGTGGAAGCAAGACTGAGGTAGGCTATATCAACGAATCAAGAGGACGTCAGTTTCAAGGGGATAAGGTATATAGTGGTACTTTAAAAAAAGAGATTCAGTGTCGCGACAAGGTGCGTCTTGGTGAATTTTCTCCTCATCGACCGTACATTGCGGCAAAATCTATAGTCAGTTGGTTCTTTTCACTTTTTGCACCGACTAAGTTTGTCGATTGTTGAACTCCAGCCACAAAGGCATTCCAAGCAAGATATCCAAGTTGACGACAAGGAGACTTCATTTCCTCAAGTTCATATGAAAGCACCCATTTCACCCGTTTCAGATGAAGTTTCGCTACCAATTCAGTCTTTTCCTCTTTCTCAAGACTATGAAGAGTAGCTACCACCACCAAGTCTTGACTCACCTTTGCTTCCTGATCCTTTATTTGATTCCATTATGGTTTTTTATGCAGGAGGTTCTTGTCACGACCCAAACCCGCCCCTATGGGTTTAAGCATCGTAACCGGCTAGTAATCCGTAATTACCAAAGGCCTGCTTAACAGTAATGACAGTAATACAGAGTAAGGGGGCTGGCGAAAGCCAAAACAGTAAATAAAAGATGTCCAATGAGCTGTGAAAATCTTAATGTAAAAAGACTTTTCCATAACATGCCACATTGATAACCAAAACGTATGTACATGCAACATATACACAAACATCCCCGTTAGGGACCAAATCCCTTTAACATAACTGTACAGTCAGAAAGTCTTAAACACCTATTACAAAACAGAGACAATAAGGGTGAATCTAGGACACCCCAAAACAGCCTTAGCTTGGACAGACTTGGAACCTCGCAATGAGGCACAATGGTTGGCTTAACAAAACTAGAGCGTAACCTGATGCTCCTAGCATCGATCCGGTGCCTGTACATCTACATATAAATATAAACAGTGAGCTAAAACCCAGTGAATAACAAATGCGTAAAGAGGTTAAGAATGAATGTCCTTTCAGTCATTAAGCAGTCATATCAGTCATTTAGAAACGATAGCAGTTATATGTGGCACATCCAATAACAGCAGTACAGTAGGTCTTAACAGACCGAACAGTCAGTTGATGGCCATCATAACAGTATACAGTATTGGTTCCAAGTATTGGAACCGACAGAGATCTCTATGATAGTAGCAGTACAGTAACAGTACAGTAAATTGCTATGGATGCCACGAATAGAGTTCATAAGTAGGACATCATTCATTCAGTAAACAGTATTACTTCAGAAAACAGTACAGTTAATTGTTCAGGAAATAATCATCATTGAACATATCTTTACAACATTGTTACTCACAGAGCACTGGGCTATAAGCAGCTAATGAGTGTCCTCGGATGCCAACCCTACACAGTTACAGAATGAACACACACTAAGTTACACACTTGGGAATCAACAACTCAGTCCCTATCTTGCCTCGGTATGGTTCTATATCAATATCCTCATTAAGATGCTTTAAACTAGGCCTAGGAATGCCTAGGATGGAATGAGGATACAAAGATGCACTTTAAAATACTTTTCAAAATTTTTCAAAAAACAGGGGTCTCGCTCGAGCGTGGCTTTCTACGCTCGAGCGAGCTTTCCAAAACATAGGGGTAGCTCGAGCGTGGACTTCCTCGCTCGAGCGGTCTGTAAAAATGCA